AAAATGAGAAGGTAACTTAGGGAATTGGAGAAAATATTTTAAAAGATGCTCCTGACAAAAGATGACTTTCCAAAATACTCAAAGAGCTCATATAGCTTAATATCAAACAAAACCAAAAACTTCAATCAAAAATGGAGAGAAGACTTAAATAGACATTTCTGCAAAGAAGAGATACAGATTACAAACAGGCACATTAAAAGATGCTCAACATCACTAATTATTAGTGAAATGCTAATCAAAATTACAATCAGGTATCACATCACAATGGCTTCCCAGGTGACTCAGTGGTAAAGAATCCACCTGCAAAGCAGGAGACACAGGTTCCATTCCTGGGTCGGGAAGACCCCCTGGAGGAGGAATTGGCTACCCACTCCAGCATTCTTACCTGAGAAATTCCATGGGCAGAGGAGCCTGGCGGGCTACAGTCCATGAGGTCACAAAAAAGTCAGATACGACTTAGCAACTAAACAACAACATCACATCACAGTGGTCAGAAGGGCCATTATTAAAAAGCCTACAAATCATAAATGCTGGAGACAGTGTGGAGAAAAAGGAACCCTCCTGCATTGCTGGTGGGAATGTAAACTGGCACAACCACTATAAAGAATAGTTTGGAGGTTCCTTAAAAAACTAAAAATACACCGACCATGTTATCCTGCTATCCCACTTCTTGGCATACATCTAGAGAAAACTCTAATTCAAAAAGATACATGCACCTCACTGTTCATTCTAGCACTATTGTCAATAGACAAGGCATTGAAGCAACCTAAATGTCTGTTGACAGATGAATTGATAAAAAAAAAAGATATGGTACATATTATTCAGCCACACAAAAAGAATGAAATACTGCAATTTGCAGCAACATGGGTAGATTCAGAGATTAGGATATTAAGTGAACTCAGACAGAGAAATACAAACATTATATGATACTACTTATATGAGGAATCTTATTTTAAAAAAGATACAAATGCACTTATATACAAAATAGGAATAGACCCATAGACATAGAACATAAACTTGTGCTTACCAATGTCAATGGGAGGAGAAGGGAGGGAGAAGTTAAATTAGGAGCTTGGATTAAAATAAACAAAGTATATTATATATAAAATAGATAAGTTCTAACTGTATAGCACAGGGATCTATACTCAATATCCTTTAATAACATATAAGGGAAAAAATCTGCAAAAGAATATAGATGTTTAATTGAATCACTTTGCTGTACACTTGAAACTACACATTACAAATTAACTATACTTCAATTTTTAAAAAGAAACACTTTGGAGTCTTAACCCCTAGTACCTAGGAGTGTGACCTTCTCTGAACACAAAGTCCTTATGGAGGTAACCAAGTTAACACGAGGTGATGAAGGTGAGCCCTGGTCTAATGAGACTGGTGTCCTTATAAGAAGTTTGACAACAGGTGCGTGCACACAACAGGGAGATGCTATGTGAAGACAAAGGCCTACATCATGGTGATGCAGCCACAAGACAAGGAAGATTGAAAATTACCACACACCACCAGCATCTAGGAGAGAGGCCTGGAACAGATTCTGGGCCACAGGTCTCAGAGAGAACCACCCCTACCAACGCCTTCATCCTGTACTTCCAACCTCCAGACCTGTCCTTTGTCTCTATCATCACTTTAAATAACATACACTTGTGGAGATTCCTTAAAAACACTGGAAATAGAACTGCCATATGACCCAGAAATCCCACTATTGGCCATACACACCTAGGAAACTAGAATTGAAAGAAACACATGTACCCCAATGTTCATCTCAGCACTGTTTATAATAGCCAGGACATGGAAGCAACCTAGATGCCCATCAGCAGACGAATGGATAAGAAAGCTGTGGTACACATACACAATGGAGTATTCAGTTCAGTTCAGTCCAGTTGCTCAGTCATGTCCGACTCTTTGCAACCCCACGAATCACAGCACGCCAGGCCTCCCTGTCCATCACCAACTCCCGGAGTTAACCAAACTCATAACCATTGAGTCGGCAATGCCATCCAGCCATCTCATCCTCTGTCATCCCCTTCTCCTCCTGCTCCCAATCCCTCCCAACATTGGGGTTTTTTCCAATGAGTCAACTCTTCACATGAGGTGGCCAAAGTATTGGAGTTTCAGCTTCAGCATCAGTCGTTCCAATGAACACCCAGGACTGATTTCCTTTAGGATGGACTGGTTGGATCTCCTTTCAGTCCAAGGGACTCTCAAGAGTCTTCTCCAGCACCACAGTTCAAAAGCATCAATTCTTTGGCACTCAGCTTTCTTCACAGTCCAACTCTCACATTCATACATGACCACTGGAAAAATCAAAGCCTTGACTAGACGGACCTTTGTTGGCTTTTTAATATGCTATCTAGGTTGGTCATAACTTTCCTTCCAAGGAGTAAGTGTCTTTAATTTCATGGCTGCAATCACCATCTGCAGTGATTTTGGAGCCCAAAAAAATAAGTCTGACACTGTTTCCACTGTTTCCCCATCTATTTCCCATGAAGTGATGGGACCGGATGCCATGATCTTAGTTTTCTGAATGTTGAGCTTTAAGCCAACTTTTTCACTCTCCTCTTTCACTTTCATCAAGAGGCTTTTCAGTTCCTCTTCACTTTCTGCCATAAGGGTGGTGTCATCTGCATATATGAAGTTACTGATATTTCTCCAAGCAATCTTGATTCCAGCTTGTGCTTCCTCCAGCCCAACATTTCTCATGATGTACTCTGCATATAAGTTAAATAAGCAGGGTGACAATATATAGCCTTGATGTACTCCTGTTCCTATTTGGAACCAGTCTGTTGTTCCATGTCCAGTTCTAACTGACCTGCATATAGGTTTCTCAAGAGGCAGGTCAGGTGGTCTGGTATTCCCATCTCTTTCAGAATTTTCCACAGTTTATTGTGATCCACACAGTCAAAGGCTTTGGCATAGTCAATAAAGCAGAAATATATGTTTTTCTGGAACTCTCTTGCTTTTTTTGATGATCCAGCGGATGTTGGCAATTTGATCTCTGGTTCCTCTGCCTTTTCTAAAACCAGCTTGAACATCTGGAAGTTCATTATTCAGCCATTAGAAAGAATACATTTGAATCAGTTCTAATGAGGTAGATGAAACTGGAGCCTATTATACAGAGTGAAATAAGCCAGAAAGAAAAACACCAATACAGTATAATAATGCATATATATGGAATTTAGAAAGATGGTAACGATAACCCTGTATGCGAGACAGCAAAAGAGACACAGATGTATAGAACAGTCTTTTGGACTCTGTGGGAGAGGGTGAAGGTAGGATGATTTGGGAGAATGGCATTGAAACATGTATATTGTCATATGTGAAACAAATCACCAGTCCAGGTTCAATGCATGATACAGGGTGCTCAGGGCTGGTGCACTGGGATAACCCAGAGGGATGGGATGGGGAGAGAGGTGGGAGGGGGGTTCAGGATGGGGAACACATGTACACCCGCGGCGGATTCAGGTCAATGTATGTATGGCAAAACCACTACAATATTGTAATTAGCCTCCAATTAAAATAAATTAATTTATATTTAAAAATAAATAAATAGCATACAGCTTCCAGCATAGAGGAAGCACTCAACAAATGTTTAGAGAATGACTGGGTCCAGAACACCTGGCCTTATAATTCATTCTGTACCCAAGAGTCCTAAGCCAAGCCTTTAAAAGGCAGCCTGAGCTGCGAACCTTGATCACTCATTCCACACCCTCAGCAGAATTCCTCCTGTGGCTGCTCCTGACAGTTTCAAAGCCTGGTCTCTTTGATTTTCCAGCAATCAATCACCTCTTCCATTTTCAGCTTCTGCTCTTCAGGCGAGCTGTCGCTAGCGTCCACCACACTGGCCATTCTCTGCCTTGAATTTCCCAGCACAAACTCAGGGCCCCTGCATTCCAGTATCTGCTCTGATGGGTCACTTCTCTTCCCGTCTACCTGAACTCAATCATCACCACCTCACAATGAATCAGCACCCTCAAACTCTCTCCTGTCCCACTCCTGCAGCCGAGTGGAAAATTCAGCAAACTGATGAAGGTTCAGAGCCTGCATCTTATGAAGAGAAAGCTCTTCAGTTTGGGCTCCCTTAGTTTTGTTACCATTGACTGGAAATGTGGGTGGGGACTAATTCCATACTTTAAAAAATAAACTTCTGTATGTAATCAGTACTATAAGAAGCACAGACCTATACAAGAATATGGCTGCAAAGGCTAATTTTCTCCTAGGCCCTGCACGCCAGAAACCAATACCCAGAGGAGGTTCCTACTGAGAAAGGGAAGATGTTTAAGTTTGTATTAAGGAGCTAAAGGAATCACACTAACTAAATGTGAGGGGGAAATCCTGAATCTCTAGTAACATCAACATCTCCATTTTATCGCCCCTACTATCCTGCTCCTGGCCAACCGGCCGCTGTCCTGCAGGGACTGGAGGTCCGGTTCAAGCTGCTAATGCGGCGCGGCCAGCTCCCCACACTGCCTGCCCCAAGACACACGAGCCGAGCCAGAGGCGCCCAGCCGGGCCTCGGATTGGAGGGGCGGACCATCAGGGCGGGGCCGGAATGGAGGCGTGTTCTTCGGCTGGAGGAGAGGGCCGGTCCAGAGGCGCGGCCAGGGGTGGGGTTGACCTGCACCCGCCGGGGCTCACAGGTTGGAGGCGCAGCCACTACGGGGGGTGGAGGCGTGGTCTCAGGGCGAGAAACCGACGGGAGCGGTGGCCATTGGCTCTAGACCGCGTCACTCAGGGAGGGAGGGGGCACGCGTCGTGGCCCTGCGAGTGGACTTTGCCAGGCCTGCCACCCCCGGCCGGATCCTAACCAGGCCCGAGCGCAGCCTGCAGCCGGGACTCCGGCGGCCTCTTCTGGCCCTGCACGCCAGAAACCAATACCCAGAGGAGGTGCGTTTCTCAGGCAAGGGTTAGGCGGCCGGACTGAGGAAGATCCTCGGTTTTCCTAGTCTTCAGCCACCGAAGGAGGGTCTTGGTGCTCCAGTCAGAGAATGAATTACGCTCGGTTCATCACCGCCACGAGCGCGGCCAGAAAGCCTTCTACCATCCGACTCATGAGTGAGTCCGAGCTGCGCCCCTCTCCCATAGGCTGGAAGTGGGGGTGGGGGTCCCCGCAAAGCGGCTCCAGCCTGGGTGAACCTGGCTCTGCGCAGACTGGCACAGAAATCGGGCTGGAAGTGGCACGAGGGCAGTGAATCTGCAACAGAGAGAGGCCAGGCCGCGGTCCTGGTTAGAGACCAAGGGGCTCTCCTGGGCGCAGGGGTCAGGGTTCAGCACAGCCTGCAGGCGCGTGCAGAGTGGGAGGGCGGGGACACAGGACAGAAGGGGGTGTGGGAGCCTGGTGGGCGGGGAGGGGCCGAGTGGAGGAGGGTTTTCTGTTACTGTGGCCTCTGCTTTGTCCCGGCACGTGGCACGTGTTGATTCCTCAGTTCCTCCACTATTGAGGTCAGTCCAGACAAAGTCATCTTCTATGTTTCTTTCAGACTAGCATTATATCACTAGACATGGTTACACTCTAAAGTTTTATTTAAACATGCTAAACCATCTCTGTTTATGAAAGTCTTCACTGAAAGTGTTTCTTCTTCTTTTCCATATTTATTGTAGCTGAAATATTGAGCAAGGCACCGAAATCTGTCATCTCCTTGGCAACTGGGGCACCAAACCCCAACACGTTCCCTTTCAAGACTGCGGTTATCACCATAGAAAATGGAAAACCCATCCAATTTAATGAACAGATGATGAAGAGAGCACTGCAGTATTCTCAGAGTGCTGGGTACTGATCAGTAGTCCAGCTGCTAACTTGTGTGGGCTCTGTGACCCCATGGACCGTAGCACACCTGGCTTCCCTGTCCTTCACTATCTCCCAGAGTTTATTCAAACTCATGTCCACTGTGTCGGTGATGCTATCCAACCACCTTATGCTCTGCCACCCCCTTCTCCTCCTCCCCTCAATCTGATCAGTAGATAATTTCACTTAGTTGGTTCATTTTCATGAGCAATATTCTACAGCCAGCAGATAAAGCATCTTGTGTCTTTTTAAACTGGATATTCATCATTTAGGAAGGTTTGGGGAAGAGTTTTCAAAGAGTAATTAAGAGCAGCAATATTTCTGACTGCTTAATATCCCTAGTGACTGATTCTCAACCTTCTATGACTAGGAGAGGGAGAAGTTTTTGAAAGTAGGTACCATTTGTGCTCAGATTGGGAAAAAAAAAAAAAAAAAGAAAGAGAGAAAATAGATAGGTAAAGAAACCAGGATAGGAGAAAGGAGGAGTGAATGACACAGGAAGCAGACATTTTAGGTCCTGTGAAAAAGTTTTAATGATTATGTTTCCATGCTAACCAGGCAGCTATGGAAATGTGTTGCCTGCAGTTCAGATGTATTTAATTTCATAAAGGCAAATGGAACAAATATTCTAAAGCTTTCCTTAGCTGCTCTTCTTCCACTGATGAAGAGTAACTTACAGACTGTCTATTAATTATATTTTATTAGTCCATTGCTTTGTGATGGAAGAATAATGCATGTTAGGTACATAACTGTATATAATGTATACCGAGAACATGCCTGCCAATGCAGGAGACATAAGAGATGTGGGTATGATCCTGGGGTTGGGAAGATCCCCTACAGAAAAAAATGACAACCCACTCCAGTATTCTTACAAGCATAATCCCATGGACAGAGAAGCCTGGAAAGCTACAGTTCATGTGTTGGAAAGAGTAGGAAATGACTAAGCAACTAACACATACAGGCTTTTCTTTCCATGATACAAAGAACTTAGTGAACCTGAACTTCAGGTATCCTACAAAATCTCCCTAAGAAAAACAAAAAGGCAATACCATAGTGAATGCTCTAACGGAAAAGAAAAACTATAGGTTTTGGAATAAGAAAGCTTTAGATTCAAGTCTCAACTCATTTAACCACCAGCTGATTAATTTATGTGAATTTCTTACTCTGTAAGCTTCTTGCCTTGTATTTTAAGTAAAGATAGTAATATTAGCGAAAGGCATTCAAAGATTTTTAAACTGAATATATAAAGTACCTGATATGACCATTTAGTTGCTGTCTACTATTATTATGATTTTCACTACTGTCAATTTTTAAATGCATTTTATGCTTTAGAATCCCAGAGCTGTTATCCTGGCTAAAACAGTTACAAGTAAAATTGCATAATCCGCCCACCATCCATTATGCACCCAGCCAAGGACAGATGGACATATGTGTCACATGTGGCAGCCAACAAGGTCTCTGTAAGGTAAGAGTGGAAGGGAAGGGCACCCATCGAAAGAATCTAACATGTGCACCCATATTGCCATCTCTCCCTTAACCACAGAGCAGCATGTTTTGTGGGTTAGGAAATCTTCAACAGAATCATAAAGGGAACCTGAAGACATTCACCAACATGATTCCTCTTAAACAGAGAGCCCAGAGTGCTGAGTCCTTAGGATAAGCTTCCCTGCAGCTTAGTGAGCACGGATCAGTATCATGTGGCTCAGAGATGCAGGCTAATTTGTTAGGCTGTGGTTATGTCCGTATGACTTTTAAACTCTTCAAGGGTCTGTCCTGACCCTCCTGAGATGAGGTCTCATCCCTTTGCGTGTCTGCTGCTGTCATCATCTGTACCAGCGGCCTCCTGCACCCCATTTCCCTCCAGATCTGAGGATCTCCAGATCTGAGGATGCGTCTGTGGCTGTGGCTGACTTCTCCCCTGGGCTGGCGGCCTCTCTGTCTCTCTTTCATTCTTTCTGTTTGTCTCTCTCTCCGCCTGTCTCCTGGTAGTCCACTGAGGTCTCCAACACTGGGTGTGCCCTCGTTAAAAAGACCGTGTTCTCAGTCTCATATCTTTTTCTTTTCTTTTTCTTGAATAATTAGTCCTGGATAAGGAGTTTCTGTATTAGTCTGCACATCTAGCTTAAAGTATGACTCTTGTTTATATCAAACCAGAGTGGTTTTCTTGTTCCTCTTATGTAAATGTGAAACCTATAATCTGGTTACTTTTAATGAATTTTAATTAAATTATTATTACAGAATAATGTATTGAAGTAATAACACTTTAAAACTTCCTCCCTGTTTTATGACTTAATTAGGACAAAGACATGGATAAGCTGCTGTTTGAGGTTTTTTTTTTTCTTGAAGAGAAATATTTGTGATGCCCCAGACCAGTAGGAAAAAAGTTCTTTTCAGTGAAATACCTTTCCTAGAAAGGTATACCATGAGCTTTTATTTTTCTCCCACAAAAGATGCTCTGGAAAGTTTCTTCTTTGTCTGTCTCAACATTAATCATATCAAAGAGGAAGACAGCACACATGGCCAAAACATTAGTAACTCACTGGTTTATAGCCATGCAGTTACAGAGGCCTCCTGGGAATATGGTTTAACATTTCTTCCACTTTGCTCTCCAGAATAAATATTATTTTAGGTGTACAAATCTCAAATAATAAACAGCACTCACTCCTCATTTAGGATTTTGGACTTTGTCATGTCCCCTTACCAGCATAGGAAATGTTGGTCATGAGCTTTTCATCTGATCCATGGCCTATACATGGATTTGCTTGGTCCTAGGAGGGCCTGTAAAATGTAAATCAACTAACTTGTCAGAGGAAACTGTGTTTGTCATAAAATGCCTAAAACTCATAAGAAATAGTAAATGGAATATCCTAGGCCAAATCAGGAAAGAAAAGTCAGATCTTCTGTCTCAATGGATACTGGCTGTGATGTTTGTCAAGAGCTCTGAGAGGCTTGACCTGGGGATGATGAAACATCCCAGGGTAGGAAAGGATGGTTCTGTGCCTTGGGTAAGATTAGTTGGAAAGGACCCCTCTGATTCAGGCAGGAACATCTCTGTCTGGCTCTACTGATGTCCTGAGGCATCACACTGTCCTCAAGATCCGCTCTGATTTGCAGGCCTGGTCTCCCTTGACCTCCGAGTCTCCCAAGCCTTGCTGAAACCATCCTTTCTGGAACACTCCCCCGTCCTTGCCCTGCCCGCCCTGCAGTGTCCATGGTTCACAGGAGCCCCGCAAGACTGGGCCTCGGACCTCTTCCCCTTCCCGCACACACCGCCCCTGGGCATCACACCAGGGGATCAGGCCCACGCCTCCATCGCCAGGCACCCTCCACACCCACGTGTCCACCGCCCCCACTGGCCTCATCCCAGGCTGCTTCAATAGCACCTCACACCAAAACACTCACCTGCTTCTCCCTCAGAAACAGACAACATTTGGGGTGTTTTCCAGTGAATGACACCCCTCCCATCACCTCCTTACTGTACAGCCAGAAATCCAGAGGTCCCTCCTTACCCCCTCCTTCTCCACTTCCCCTCAGCCCACAGTCACGTCCCTTGCTTCTGGTTTCCTAAATGCCCCTCAGTTCTCTTCAGCTCTACCACCCCATCCAGACCACCCTTGCCTTTCCCTGGGACTGCAGCAAAAACCTCCCAAATGAGCCTAAAATCTTCCCAGACTCCACCTGGATTCTCATTTTTCTTTCATACTTTGATTTTGCAGCCAGAATGACCTTCTCTTACACGTGTCTGATCTCATGACTGCTGGGTCCCGCCCTCTACTTAAAACTCTCCCTGGCTCACTTGTCCAAAGGCCTCCATGGGATGCTGTCCCTCCACTGTCTTCTGACCTCCCTCCACTCTCCTCTTCACACTCCACCTCAAGCCACAGGATTCTTTCAGTTTCTCAAATGTCTACCTATCGTCACCTTTCCCCAACTCTTCACTTCCTCAAGGAAGCCTTCCCTGAATACCCCAAGTCTGCTGAGTGATGAGCACTTAGAACACTGGCATCACACAGTAGTGCTTATCGCTGATTCTACATGTATATTTATCTGAGTAGTGTCTAGCTCAGTGCACTAGCACCTTCATGAGGGTAAAACCATCCATATAATCTTCACTTTCTCTCCATATGTTACACAGGCCTGGCTTATAACAGAGACAAACTTTTTGCAAAGAAAGCATAAATGTGTTTAGGATCCAAATCAGTTCTGTTATTTTTCAGTGTAGAAGAGAGGTTGGCAAACTATGGCTTGAGAGCCAAAGAGAATCATCCCATGTCTGATCCTGTAAGTAGAACGTTACTGGAACTCAGCCACACCATCGGCTTGCATGTTGTCTATGGCTGCACTCTCACCACAGAGGCAGAGATGAGTAGGGGCAACACAGACCCCAGGCCCACAGAACACGTCCCATCTGGCATTTATGGAAAACTTGCCAGCTCCTACTCTGGGACCCTGGTCAGCTCAAAAAAAAGTTGTGGGGGTTTCTACAACTGGAAATCATACTCTCCAAGCTAACCTGTGCTTCTTTTGTTAGGTGTTTGAAATGATCGTTAATCCTGGAGATAATATCCTTGTAAATGAACCTATTTATTCAGGAACAATTCATGCTGTGAGTACTTCTTACAAAAGGCGACTCTTTTTTATAGTAAATAAAGAGAAAGCACTGCACCTTTAGAATTATCTGCCCACTGAAAAATACAATAGCATCTTTCTTTGTGAAGAAGAGAAGTTTCAATAGAAGCAAAATATGCTAACCGTAACTTCTGATATATACATTTCTTTTTACAAAGTCTAAGTGTAGAGGTGCTAAAATTCAGTTGTGCAAAATCCTGTCCAGTGTTCTTAATATTTCACTTGAAATGCCTCTTAATTTACAAAGACATTTTTCATTACTGTCTATATTACCACATGTCTAAGACAAATCATATGTCAATGTAATATAACTAAACCTATCAGTATGACCAGGACTTTCACATCTAGTGTTTATTATAAGACTCTAGACCCACAATGAAGAAGCGGATCACCTGCTCTGCTGGGTCCTGGTCAGAACTCAGCACTCTCTGGGGCACAATACTTTGGGGTTGATGTGAACATAGTCTGGAGCACAGTCAGAGAGAAGCAAGTGGAGTAACAAAAATTTAGAAATAAGACCATACGTTCAATGCTCTTTTCCACAGAAAGAGGAGATCCATGGGGACATGAGGATGGTCCTCAATTACATTAAAGGTAGCCGTGTCACAGAGGAGTTAGATTTGTCTGTGTGTGTCCTTAGGTTGACAGAACTGGAACCAAAAGGTGGAAACTACAGGGAAGAAATTTCAGCTCAATTTCAAAATAAATTTCAACTAATTAACCATCAGCTTTACCCACTCTCTGAGGAAAAAAGCAAACCCATCCCTGCAGGCGCTCAAAAAAAGCAGCCAACACAAAAGAACAAATATTGTGTGATTCCCCTTATACAAAATATATAAAACCAGCAAACTCATAGAGACCAGAAGCTGATTAGAGGTGACCAAGCACTGGGGAGGGGGGTGGGGAGTTGTTGCTTAGGGGGTACAGGTTTCTGTTTGGAGTGATGAAATGATTCTGGAATGGATAGTGTCATGAGATGCACACATCGCGAACACAGTTATTGCCACTGAATCACACTTTAGAATGGCACAGTTTTTACCACAACTTTAAAAACTAAAATAAAATAATTCCCTTTTCTTCATGATTGGAGACTAATTATTAATTACGTTCCTAAACTATACATATAAAACTTGCATCTATGTAAATAGCTGGATGCACACACACTGTCACATGCCCAAACAGAGATCTGTGCCAGGCTCTAAGGAAAGAGGCTGAAGTTCCGTGTGCAAGACTTCTATAAAACTATGTTCATGACAAGGCCACTACTTTCGACTTCAGCCTCTGCAATCAGTACAATATAGATATACTTGCACACCCCGTGGGGATCCACGGCCCTGATGCTCCTTGGTGACCCAGCACCACCTGGCCCCCCGACCCCTCTCCTGAGACCACCCTGAACCCCATACAGTGCAGAGCTAATGCTGGCATGGCAGGGGGTCTCCAGGACCCCACTCCACCCTGCTCTGTGTCTGTTGCTCCCACGCTACACCGCTTGTCCAATATTTTGAGTATCACCTCTGCTTATAACTTTTTAAATATTAGCATCACAGGTGCTTTCTAAGATTGATTTCCTTTCTCAAAATCATTCCTTAATAAACACCTATTTTATGAACCAGTTCTAATCATAATTATGAAGATAATGCAGTGTGGGCATAGAGCTGAGGGCAGGTTTGTGTTTAAGGGTGTAAATGGTAACACTCTCCTTAGTGTAAGAACCCTTGGCCCTGATATTTTGTAATCAGGTATCAATCGCAGACTTGCTTTTCTCTGTGTATTGACAGCTGCAACCCCTGGGCTGCAACATGATTAATGTTTCCAGTGATGAGCACGGGATTATTCCAGACTCCCTCAGAGAAATACTTTCCAAATGGAAACCAGAAGATTCAAAGGACCCCGAGAAAAACACCCCCAAATTTCTTTACACTGTCCCAAATGGCAACAACCCTACTGGGAACTCGTTAACAGCTGAGCGCAAAAGGGAAATCTATGAGGTATTTTCAGAGAAGGTTTACCTGGCTGTGTTCTTGTTTCCTTCTGACTCTTTAGAAGAGTGCTCCCAAATTCCTTCTCTGGTTAGGCTCTTCCCCTCAAGGAAGATGATTTTTAATAAAAAGAAGCCATCTATTCCAGGCTCGCCACAAATTTAAACACAAGAAATTACTACAGTCTGGTTGACTGATATGTTTCTTTCCCTTTAATTGATATTTCCATTGAAAGAGATGCTATTCTTGGTGGGGTGTTACACTCACCTCTTACTCCCTTTTTTTCTGTCTTCACCTCCTCTCCCACCTCCAGTCCATCCCGTGGCCCCCACTACCCAAACCCACCATCTCCTCAGCCACCCTCCTCGCTGACCCTGGGACTCCTTTGCAGGGCTGCTCCCCACACACACAGCCCGTCCCCCAGCGCCAGCCCCACCACCAGTCACTGAATCCTTCCTACTCACGCGTGGAGCACCAGGCCCAACTCCAGCCGCTTCCCACCACACACGGAAAATAAAGATAAAAGTCCTTCACTTCCACACACTGATGGGACCTGGGCCTCTGCTCCCAAACCTGGGGGCTCTCACATCCTTCCCTCTGTCCCTTAAACACACCAAGGATTTTCTGACTCCAGGGCCACTGCTCCCTGCTCTCTCAGTCTAAACATCTTCTCCCCCAGCATCTGCACAACTGATCGTTTCGGTCAGCCTGAGCTCCCCTGGAGCTTCCCCGTCTCTCTCTCTCAAGCATCAGCCTCTTCAACCATCTGCCGGGCCCTCAGGACCTCCCACCTAATCCTCCTCTGGTCACGATCTAGGAGCTCAGGTTCTGTCTTTACCACCAGAATGAAAGTTCTGTGAGGACAGAGCCTTTAGGGCTGGTTCCTCCTCCTAGGACAGCAGGGACTCAGAAGTTGCTGGGATGAATGAATGAATGATTGAATGAGTACAAAGAACTATGACTGATTTCAAGTAATTTTCATCTTAGACAGCTCTTAACTTTAACCTTACTCTAACTTTATCTAACGTGTTTTAGCTCGCAAGAAAATATGACTTCCTCGTCATAGAAGATGATCCTTACTATTTCATGCAGTTCAACAAGGTAAGTGACAGCGTCAACTCAGCCCACAATTAGAAGATGAGGTGTTGTTAATGCACGTGATTGCATTTTGGCCTGGCTGCTGAATATTTTCATCTGTGGTGTTAACTGCTTATTCCAGAAATTCCCTACTTTTAGAATAATGACTGGCCATCTGTGCCAGACACGTGAAGGAACATGTGAGTCAAGGTGAAGGTCGTCTTGACTCCATAGACATGGTACCAGGGATGTGGAGTGGGTGTCTCCTGGGGTGTCAGCCTCAGTCTCTCAGGGGTGGCTGATGGGCTGGAGGACTTGGGAGCTGTGTTCAGAGGGAAGGCAGAGGGCTGTCCTCAGTCAGTGATGTAACTGTGAGCAGAGGAGGGTGTTCCAACATCATGCTCCCTGCCTGCCATCCCTGTCACGTAGGGAAGGAACTCACCTGCACAACAAAGGACTTCTAGATCCTTCCCCACTGTCCATGTGCACCACTGTCCCCGAGCATTGTTCCCTAGGAGACAACAGTAATGGTACAGACTCCAATGCCCGGTTCCTCAAAATCTAACACTAGAATTGCTCTCAGGGCTGCAGAGAACAGACACATGGATTCAGTCCCCACTACGAATCTACTGGAAAGAAACACAACTCTTGGCTTTTTGTCTATTTACCTGACTATCATGTCTGCCTGCCACCCACCGTAAACACAACCATGGCCCCCTTCCCTGTGGGCATTTACTCTGAAATAAATGTGGAAGGTTCACCATTGCACGGTGACTACCTGGCTCATCTTCGTTTGCACATTCTTTGTGTTTCTAGTTGTTCTAAGGGTCAGCATTCTCTCTCTGAGGAGCCCTGCATGCTGATAGCGCTCCTCATTGTGGTCTTTTCCAAACTAATTTTCCTGGAATCCTTCCTGGAAATCCGTTCATCCTGGATCTCAAGCCTTGGGACAAGGAAGTCCTATATGAAGTTTCCCCACTCTCTGCACAAAGTAGGGATACAGACTCTAACAGATATAAATAGTGTATTTATCTTCCATTTCAAGCCCTGGGCACCGACATTTCTCTCCATGGATGTGGATGGGCGTGTCATCCGAGCTGACTCTTTTTCCAAAGTCCTGTCCTCGGGGTAAGGCCCTGGCTCTGCCTTCAGGCTGCAGATAAAGGTGACAGGGGCTGCCCCTCAGCATCTTTTAGTATAAAAAGAGCTTCTCGTTTAAGGTGCTTGTATTCCACTCATCTTAACACATCTGTTTGAATATTACTAACATATTTTCTCCCAATCCATCCCCACTGGTCAAAGATCCTTGACCATTAAGATATACCTGTAAGGGGACTGGTCAGATTTGGGTGCATGTACAGAAGAATTTAAAAATATCTCATCAGATATCCATTCTATTTTAAGTGTACAATTAAGTTTAAATGTGTACTTTAAATAAGAAGTAGTTTTACTAGAAGGTGTTAAATTTCATGAAATCAGTAACATGGTATTAACTGATAATGCACGATTGGTAATGTGCCTTTTCGTTTTGAGCAGGTTGAGAATAGGGTTTATAACTGGTCCAAAACCCTTGATTGAGAGAATTGTTTTACACATACAAGTTTCAACAATGCACCCCAGCACTTTTGCTCAGGTAATGACAGTTTATGAAATATGAATTTTTTGAATCAGATCATAAAAGAAAAGGATGTTGGCAAATAAGACAGAGTAAAGTGTCACCAACAGAGATATCACTGACTGCATTTGTAGCTCCACATGGACTAGCTAGACAGCACATATTTGCTCTAAAAGGCAAAAGAGTTTTGAATGGACCTGATGCTGTTTCAAGTGTAGACCAAGCCCCTTGAGAGTCAGATGTTATTCATCTTGTGTCCTGGCATCTAGCCCAGGAACCTCATAAAAACAGTGTTAAACTCAACAGGATGGAAGGGGTTTGGTGAAGTAACACACAGTTCGCTCCACTGTCCTGAAGTCTAAGAGCAAGGGTTCCAAACCTGCCAGTGGCCAGGTATCTGCCTTCACTGCCCATGTGCTAACCTCCCTACAGACACCGGCTGGAATGTATTTTAATTAAAAGACAGTAAAATTATTTTTGGAGATTGTATAAATTTCTTCACAAGCTTTGAGAAATTATTGAACCCATTCCTAAGGAACCTTGAAAATCAAACCTTGAGGACAGAACCGCTACCTATGAAGGCCAAAAGAGTAGTTTATGTAGAATGGACATTTGTTTGATATTATATATTCCACAAAGTGCAGATGCCCTGTGTTTTATCACCCTGGGGACTTTTTCCATATTTTCCGTATCTGTTATCAATCAAATTTCACTATCCATTTACAACATTTAGAACATCTACTCTGGATAAAAAAAAAATCTCTGGAAATATTGTATAAATATTGTATAACTTCATGCATCAACTGTATGCATTTTATACTTAGGCCATCCAGGGCAGCATTTATTGGGGGCATCTGGGACTAGACAGTCTGACTTGAGTCCAGGCTCTGTGATGAGCTGCCTAATAAGGGTATTACAAAGACCAACTAATCTGAAATATTAATATATTCACATGGTACAGCAGTTTCTGACACACAGTGAGAACCTTATAAATATTTGTTATTGTTAATATTATTGTGCAATATTATTGTTGTCACTGTTGTTAATCAACACTGTTATAAGTTACTGACTCTAAAAAGCTTGGTGCATCTTCTTGGTGTGGTTTGCACATAATCAAGAGTGATTTGCTTTCATTTTTGGCAAAAACACATTTAGAGCATGAACCTTGTTTCTGTCTCATGCTTTTTAGCTCCTGGTCTCACAGCTTCTATACCAATGGGGAGAAGAGGGCTTCCTGGCTCACATAGACAGGTACTGTACTTGAGGTTTCATACTTTACATAGAAATGGACTTCACTCTATTAATTTTCATTTTTTAATTATTCCAAAATAATGGAAAAACCACAAAGTAGAAAGTTTACTACTGGACAGGTCAAAGAAATATGGTCTATTCCCTCATCAAGAGTTCAACACCTTCATCAAGATACAAAATAGATTCTTATAGACTGGACCCTCAGAGCCTTTTGGATTCTGCAATCAGTATAGCAAACACATATTTTTCATTGTTTTCTTCCTCTAGGGTTATTGATTTCTACAGGAAGCAGAGGGATGCATTAATGGCAGCAGCAGACAAGTGGTTAAGTGGTAAGTGGAATGCACATCCTATCCTGGAATGAGCAGCAGTCCTTATATGAGTGAGTGATACCACAGAGTATTGTTAATAATCCTGGGGAAGGAAACAGGGTCCAGGAGGATTCTTGGCAAGAAAAATGTTACCCTGTGAATAATCTTAGTAGTAATAGCACAAAGAAATAAAGGAAAACAATAGAATGGCAAAGACTAGAGATCTCTTCAAGAAAATTAGAGATACCAAGGGAACATTTCATGCAAAGATGGGCACAATAAAGGACAGAAATGATAAGAACCTAACAGAAACAGAAGAAATTGAGAAGAGGTGGCAGGAATACACAGAAGAACTGTACAAAAAAGGTCTTAAGACCTGGATAACCACTATGGTGTGGTTACTAACCTAGAGCCAGACATCCTGGAGTGTGAAGTCAAGCGGACCTTAGGAAGAATCACTATGAACAAAACTAGTGGAGGTGATGGAATTCCAGGCAAGCTATTTCAAATCCTAAAAGATGATGCTGTGAAAGTGCTGCACTCAATATGCCAGCAAATTGGGAAAACTCAGCAGTGGCCACAGGACTGGAAAAGGTCAGTTTTCTTTCCAATTCCAAAGAAAGGCAATCCCAAAGAATGCTCAAACTACCACACAATTTTGCTCCTTTCACATGATAGCAAGGTAATGCTCAAAATCCTTCAAGCTAGGCTTCAACAGTATGTGAACCAAGAACTTCCAGATGTTCAAGCTGAATTTAGAAAAGGCAGAGGAACCAGACATCAAATTGCCAACATCCATTGGATCACAGAAAAAGCAAGGGAATTGAAGAAAAACATCTACTTCTGCTTCACTGGCTATGCTAAAGTCTTTGATTGTGTGGATCACAAAAAACTGTGGAAAATTCTTAAAGAGAGTTGGGAATACCAGACCACCTTACCTGCCTCCTGATAAACCTGTAGGCATGTCAAGAAGCAACAGAACCAGACATGGAACAATGGACCATTTCAAAACCAGAAAAGGAGTATGTCAAGGCTGTATATTGTCACCATGCTTATTTAATTTATATGAAGAGTACATCACATGAAATGCCAGGTTGGATGAAGCACAAGCTGGAATCAAGACTGCTGGGAGTGATATCAATAACCTCAGATATGCAGATGATGCCACCTTAAAGGAAGAAAGTAAAGAACTAAATCGCCTCTTCATGAAGGTGAAAGAGGAGACTGGAAAAGCTGGCTTAAAACTCAGCATTCAGAAAACTAAGATCATGGCATCTGGTCCCATCACTTCATGACAAATAGACGGGAAAAGAATGAAAACAGTGACAGACTTTATTTTCTTGGGTTGCAAAATCACTGTGGATGGTAACTGCAGCCACAAAATTAAAAGATGCTTGCTCTTTGGAAGAAAAGTTATGATAAACTTAGACAGCATATTAAAAAACAGACTTCAGTTTGCTGAGCAAGGTCCATTTAGTCAAAGCTTTGGTTTTTTTCAGTAGTCATATATGGATGTGAGTGTTGGACCATAAAGAAATCTGAGCATTGAAGAATTGACGCTTTTGAACTGTGGTATTGTAGAAGACTGTTGAGAGTCCCTTGCACTCTCCAACCAGTCCATCCTAAAGGAAATCAGTCCTGAATATTCACTGGATGGATTGATGCTGAAGCTGAAGCTCCAATACTTTGGCCACCTGATACGAAGAACTGACTCAGTGGAAAAGACCCTGATGGTGGGAAGGATTGAAGGCAGGAGGAGAAGGGGACAACCGAGGATGAGATGGTTGGATGGCATCATCCACTCAAAGGACACAAGTCTGAGCAAATTCTGAAAGACAGTGAAGGACAGAAAAGTCTGGCTTGCTGCAGTCCGAGGGGTCACAGAGTCAGACACGACTGAGCGACTGAACAGCAGCACAAATGCTGACACAGCTCTACATGTTTCTATTACAAAGTCTAAACCTAACTTCAGTGGAGGACCTGTGCTTTAAAAAAAATATCAATTAGGCTAACAGTCAACCAGCAATAACCTACTTAAAGCCAACATCTGTACTGAAAGGTTTTCAAAATTTTGCTCCAAACAGAAGAGGAATTGTGACACTAGCAGTATATTCCTTTTCTAACCTGACTCCATAAAGACAAAATGGTACTATAGTACAAACTAAATGCAATCTAAGGTGGATTTCTCATTACAGGTGATTTGCCTTGTAATTATTAACTTCATTTATCTAATATTTCTATCACTAATCTGATTTCAGAATGGTTTAGATTTAATTGTCTATTAACGAAGAAAGTAAAATGAATTGCATGACTTTAATTATACCACTGAAAATGCCTTTGGCAAGAGTAATAGTAAATACAAAGTATCAATTCCTTGTTTCCATCACATCTGCTTCCCTATGAAGTCTTATTTTTTTGATAAGATAAGATCTTATCTTTTTGATAAGATCTTTTTGTATCACTTCTATCATGTTGAAAAAAAGGTTTTAATCCTCATCCATGTTTTTTTCCCCCCCTAAAGACTAATGACTAAAATCCAAGTAACTCTTGTTCGTTCTTGGTTTCTCTATGCTTATATTCAATGAAACAAAGCCTACAAATATACCTGGAATTCTTGAATTTTAAGTACTTCTTAATTGTGCATGCATGCTGAGTTGCTAAGTCATGTTCAACTCTTTGGTACCCCATGGACTATGTCCATGGGATTTCCCAGGCAAGAATACTGGCATGGGTTGCTATTACCTTCTCCAAGGGATCTTCCCAACCCAAGAAATCGAATCTGCATCTCCTGCATTGGCAGGTGGATTCTTTATCACTGACCTACCTGGGAAGCCCATACTTCTTAATTATTAGTACATTCTGATTTAAAATAATATCAATAATCTCAGATATGCAAATGACACCACCCTTATGGCAGAAAGTGAAGAGGAACTAAAAAGCCTCTTGATGAAAGTGAAAGACGAGAGTGAAAAAATTGGCTTAAAGCTCAACATTCAGAAAACTAAGATCATGGCATCTGGTCCCATCACTTCATGGGAAATAGATGGGGAAACAGTGGAAACAGTGGCAGACTTTATTTTTTTGGGCTCCAAAATCACTGCAGATGGTGATTGTAGGCATGAAATTGAAAGACGGTTACTCCTTGGAAGGAACGTTATGACCAACCTAGATAGCATATTAAAAAGCAGAGATGTTACTTTGCCAACAAAGGTCCGTCTAGTCAAGGCTATTGTGTTTCCAGTGGTCACATATGGATGTGAGAGTTGGACTGTGAAGGAAGCTGAGCACCGAAGAATTGATGCTTTTGAACTGTGGTGTTGGAGAAGACTCTTGAGAGTCCCTTGGACTGCAAGGAAATCCAACCAGTCCATCCTAAAGCAGATCAGTCCTGGGCATTCATTGGAAAGACTGATGCTGAAGCTGAAACTCCAATACTTTGGCCGCCTCATGCGAAGAGTTGCCTCATTGGAAAAGACCCTGATGCTGGGAGGGACTGGGGACAGGAGGAGAAGGGGACAACAGAGGATGAGATGGCTGGATGGAATCACCGACTCAATGGACATGTGTTTGAGTAGATTCCGGGAGTTTGTGATGGACAGGGAGGCCTGGTGTGCTGCAATTAATGGGGTCACAAAGAGTCGGACATGACTGAGCGACTGAACTGAAACTGAACTGAACTGATTTTAAAAAAAAAAAAACTTCATTAGACTTCTGAACAACTACATAAATGATATGATTTATTGAAACACTAGAAGACTCTAGAAAGAGTTGAGGAATCCTCTCCTAAAATTGAAAGAGTGTCTTATGGGCAGCTCTAAGGAAGGGAGGTGGGCATGACGCTGGAGTTCCTGAATGGCCCTGAGACCCACTAAAATCCTAAATATACATGAGTCCCCCCTCACTCCCTTTCAAACGTTCCCCTTGCTTTTTGAAATAAAACTGTAACGCTCATTTTCAAGACTCATAAAACTATGTTAAAAAAAAAAAATGCTATCCCCTAGGGAACTTTTTTGGAAATACTAGTTTACAGTTACTGCAGTACATCATTTAAGCAATACAGTTGACATCATAAACAATGGCCTTAGGAAATATTTCTTCTCTTCTCTTTGTAGGTTTGGCAGAATGGCATGTTCCTACTGCAGGAATGTTTCTGTGGGTTAAAATTAAGGGCATTCATGATGTAAGAAAATTGATTGAAGAAAAAGCCTTTAAGAAAGAGGTAAAATGGGGGGTGGGGGGGGGAAGCTATACTTTTTCCTTAAGGTGATATCTTAACAAAAACAGCGAGAGATGTTTATTGTTGCCCACCAACTCAAGGATGATTTTGCCTACCAGTTACGATATCTTATTATTCGGATCATAATAGATTGGGGGGCTGTTTTTTTAATATTGACTTATTTACTTGGCTGTACCAATCTTTGTTCCAGCATAAAAACTTCACTGTGGCATGTGCAATCTAGTTCCCTAACCAGAGCCTCTGCATTGGGAGTGCAAAGTCTGAGCCATGGGACCACCAGGGAAGTCCTGAGATCACGATAGATTTGGGGTTACAGAATTAGTCTCCTGGTCTAAACTAGGGAAACACAGTCTAGTATTTTGCCTGTGAAATTATTTTTTAAAGTATAGTTGATTTACAATGTTACATTAGTCTCGTGTATACCATACTGATTCAAAATTTTTGAAGGTTAGACTTCATTTAAAGTTATAAAATATTGGCTATATTCCCTATGCTGTATAATATATCCCTGTATCTTATTTATTTTATACACAGTAGTTTGTACATCTTATTCCTCTATTTCTATATTGCCCTTCCCTGCTCTCTCTTCCCACTGGTAACCACAAGTTTGTTCTCTAAAGGTATGGGTCTGTTTCTTTCTGTTGTATTTATTTTTTAGATTCTGCATCTAAGTGACAACATGGTATTTCTCTTCTTCTGAATTATTTCACTAGGCATAATACCTTCCAAGTCCATTCATGTTGTCACAAATGGCAGGACTTCATTTTCCTCTGACTGAGTTCCAATGTATATGTGTACCACATCTTCTTTATTCATTCATGTTTGATGAACACTTAGGTTGTTCCTTTATCTTGTGTATTGTAAATAATATTGGGGTGTGTTTATCTATTCAAATTAGTGCTTTCTATTTTTCCAGATATATGATTGGATTGGAATTGCTGGATCATATGGTAGCTCTATTTTTAATTTTTTTGAGGAACCTCAATATTGTTTTCCATAGTGACTGCACCAATTTACTTTTCCACCAACAGTACATGAGGGTTCCCTTCTCTCCACATCCTTGCCAACACTTGTTATTTGTGTTCTTTTTGTTTATAGCCATTCTGAGAGGTGTGAGGTGATATCTCACTGTGGTTTTACTTTGCATTTCTCTGATAATTAGTGATGTTGAACATCCTTTCATGCATTTGTGGATGATCTGCATTTTTAATCAATTTTGTAATATGGCTATGCAATTGTTTTAAATGATTAAAATTACACAGAAAAGTTTACATCCTGCTTTTTTTACTTAAAATTATCCTGCAAAGGTTGCTTCTGGGTTTTTCTCTCCTTTTATACTTAAACCATGAGTATACGTAGATTTCATTCAGGGCCATTGATTATACTGAGAAATCTAAACTTGTTTGTCTGGCTTTCCAATTTACCAACTATCCTTTCTCTATTGATTGATTCCTTTACTGTGTTTGTCACTCTTTTCTAAACACCCAGGTCTGTTTCTAGTATACCTTTTTTCTTGACGCAGCGAGTACAAAAGGACAGACTGTTGATGCTGGCCAAGTCCCATGCTAGAGCATAAGAGACGAGGCAGCCCAGAGGCCAGAGCTGGGAACTGGCTGACTGGGCCTGAGGCCAAATCCGCTCCCCTGGGAGAGTCCCTCACCTTCTCTAACTGCTGCACTTGAGCACAGGACTCATGCTTTATGAGTCTTTTAATGCTAGTGACAGCACATAGTAAATGCTTAATAAATACTTACATGACTCAAAGAAGTGCATTTCAGTATAATAAGTCAATTTTATAACATTTTGTTTGCTTTCTTATCAATGCCATAATCATCCGGAACATTTGATGAATGGCTATTTGTGTGTATCCCTGAGCTAGGAGCTAAAGATACAGACTTCATATTTTATTATAGTTTTTTCAGTCCCCTTCATTTATTCCATATTCCCTGTTGCATGTACCTTTAACTTTTCTACATAATCACCAACTTTATCACCACTCTATTAGTCTAGACTTTGACCATCTTGGAAGGAAATTACTACCATTTCTTCCTTCTCTACAGAAATTTGCTTCTGGCACATTCCAAGAGTCCCACAATATTGAGAGAAATGATGGTTTTCATTCTAGATGCTTCCCAGGTGGTACTAGTGGTAAAGAGCCCGCAGGAGACGCGGGTGTGATCCCTGGGTCGGGAAGGTCCCCTGCAGGAGGGCATGACAATCCATTCTAGTATTCTTGCCTGGAGAATCCCATGGACAGAGGAGCTTGGTGGGCTACTGTCCATAGTGTCCCACAGAGTCAGACACAACTGAAGCGAGTTAGCACGTTAATCAAGACACAAAACTCATCTTCTGCCTTGAAATCTTCTCCCCAGAATGCCCCAGATCATTTCATTCCCACCTCATCTAACTTCAGCAGAGAGGTCCCAAGTTATACCATGTAATAAGCAGTTACTTGAAACTTTGAATGTCATGATTGTACTTGACAACCATCTCAAAGATTTTATTTCTGACTGAGGAACAATTTTCAAAGACATGGTTTGCAGGCTCCTCTGCTGCTGCCATGAGTCAGAGACCCAGGTTCGTGACCACCTTCTTGCTCTTCATTTTTCAACACACAGATCCATGATGCCTGCACACTGCAGAGGGCACAGAGGGTCACACAGGGAGATGTTCAGGGGCCAGGCTGAGAAGGAGCACCAAGGCGTCCCCTCTCCTGGCTGGGATGCAAGCACTCAGCCACAGGCATCTAGAGGGAGGCTGGGAACAGTGTTTTCATGGCCAGGAAGCAGTGGGCATGTGCTCTAGGGCAGCGAGCTGCCAGCCACAGAGGTCACCAAGCCGAGCAGGTGTCCCGCCGTCCGGACACAATCAGCTGACATTTCGCTCCATCGCTCTGTGTAGTGAGTGTTGCCACCTCTTTGAGTGATCAATTCTCTCTCCACTCGGGGCCTCCACGCTCTGTATCTTCCCCCTGCAGGACTCTTCCCTTACTTTCTGCTTGGCCAACACCTACTTATCTCTCAAGCCCCAGCTTAAAGGTCACCTCCAAATCTGATGCCTTAAAAAGAGGTTTGGACTTATTTCACTTTTCTAGTTACATTAGATATTTATATACTTTTCCAGTTTCTATGCTTTTAGTTTTGTTTATTGTATGACATGCAGAATTTTTATATAAATTGATTTTTCTCTTGTGATTTCTTTAATTGCTTTTAAACTTAAAAAGTCTTCCCCTACTCAGGTTAGATTTTCCTCTATTTTTATTGTCCCTTTAATGGAATATCACCTATTTTCCGTAAACTCTGTCAGGTATTCATGCTTCCGGGATGTGGTTTCTACATTGATAGTTCAGCTCCTTGCCCCTACTTCAGAGCATCCTTCTCTTCAGCTTCTCCAGAACAGATGGACTTGGTGAGTACCATATTCTCTTTAGAGAAACACTAGATATCAATTTATTTTTTGTGTTCATTTGTGAGTTACAACATTATTTGTTGTCTTCCTTGTTTTCTGAAAAGCGAGAATAATTGGAAAGTCATAAGCTGCCATTCAAAGAAATTGCCAAACTTCTTTAGAAAAATGATGAGAGCAAGTTGCAGTTGAATTTTTATTGTCTTCATGGTTTTGAGACCTACTCAACATTGTTTGCAGATTATCAACATGTTACAAAGAGAAACTCTTTCACTCCTTCATGGAATTAACATGAGCCAAAAGTATAAATTCATTAAGTCATCACTGTATCTCTGAAGGAAAAATTCATCAAAGGCCAAATAAAATAATATTAATGATTAGAGTTAATTAATTGATTAATCACAAAATCTATCTTCAACCAAGATACCAGGAAGTAAGTTCCTAGGCACTGACTGGTGTGTCGGGAACTCATAGACAGGCCATAAACTGAGATCCAGTAACTGTGAGAAGAGCATATACATATCCTGGGAGATGGGTGTCTCTGGGTGTGTTCTTGATTTACTTGCTTTCTCACATCATTAAATATGCTTTTCGTAAGTTATATATGAATAGAGTTGGACAACTGAAACTATACAGAAGGCATATGCAAGTGAGGGAGTATATGCAAAAACCAATTTGTGTTATGACAGAAAAAGATGATCTTGAGGGAATAAGAATTTTAAAAAATTCCTGGGACTCTGATATGCTTCCATGTTCATATGTTAGTGGACATGATGGCATCTGACTCAGATAAAGCTGAGGTTAAGCCTGACCTTACATTGTCTGATCTCAACCTAAAGATGGACTCTCTTTTTTTGAATTTTTAAAATTATGACAGACTTTTCCTAAATGGCATCCTAATTTTCTTAATTCTTCTCTCTGTTCTGTTTTAGGCCTTTCAGAGATTGGCCCAACTTATAAAAGAATCTTTATGAAGAAATCAAACTCTTCATAGCACTCATGGATTTTAGATTCTATGCATTTATCTGTATTTCAGCAAGAAGAAACAATCATTGGTGCTAGATTTACAGATAGGGTTTCACTAAATATGTCATGCCTGTAGTAATTTAACTACACAACCTTCAAAGTGCCCTTGAACCCATCTGACCTCCAAAATATATTTATAATTCATCCGTATCTTTTGATAAATATTCAACCCACACAATTAATTTTATCCTGGATTTTATTGTAAAGAACTCTGTATTCACTTTATAATTTCCCATAAATCTTCTTTGAAACTGACATTTTATAGTAAATTATTTATAAGCCAGTAAGTTAAAAATGGCATATAATGTGAACTTTATCTCTTTTTAAGGAAATGTTATAAAAGCTTCCACCTGGTGCAGTAGTAAAGAATCTGCCCACCAATTCAGAAGACTCAGGTTCAATCCCTGGGTTGGGAAGATTCCCTGGAGGAGGAAACCCACTCCAGTATTCTTACTGGGAAATCCCATGGACCGAGGAGCCTTGTGGGTCAGAGTCCCCCACACAAAGAGGTCACAAAGAGTCTGACATGACTGAGCACTCACTTACTCAATGAAAGCTTACTGCAAAAGTTGTTAGAATTTGACAATTATGCATAATTTTCAGTAAGAGTATCACAGACATTATATAATATAAAAATCTCTATAACATGAAATTCCAAAACTAAACATTCCTAAAGATGTTGCTATTAATTCTGAGGAGGAGAGATTGAGGACTTTGAAAAATGTACTACATTGTATTTTATGATTCTACACAACTTCAAAAACACATTCTTACCAGTTATGTGATTTCAAGCTACTACATACCTTTGAGGTACTCAGAATATACTTTTTAATGATTTTCTTTCTCATCTTTTATGATCTTTATTTTCCCATCTGATTATTAAAAATATGCTCATGTAATTTTTCAGATAATCCAGGAAATGTAAAGAATAAAGTAAAAGCCACTGCCTCTCTCACCACACCATTTATCATCCACCCTTTCAAGATGTTTCTGTGCATGTACATGTAACATATAAAAAAAATAGGATGTCATTAGGACAGTGTCATAAACACCCTGCATCCGTTTTCTGTCGCTGTAGAACAATTTACCAGCATTCCAATTTAGTCATTGTAAAATTATCATGTCCTTTAAGGAATTAGGAAGTATAGATTACTGTCATTCCCAAGATCCTTGTGTACATAAATACCTCCATCACAGTTATTATTTTTCCACCATATGAATAAGTTGGAATGTTTGGTCCTGGTGGTAATTGCTATAGCTATTTCAAGCTGACTTAAAATGAACAACTGTCAGGAAGCACAGAGAGTCACAGGCAGAATAAATCCGGGGGAAACATGAAGATATACATACTAATCAAATTGACAAAAATTAAAGACAAAGGAAAAATATTAAAAGCTAAAAAAGGAAAAGGAAAAAATAACATACAATGTAATTCCCATAGGGTTATCAGCTGATTTCTCAGCAGAAACACTGGCCAACAGGGAGTGACATGATAGCTTTAAAGTGAAGAAAGGGAAGAAACTGAATACCCAGCGAGGCTTCATGCAGATTTGACAGAAAAATCAAAAGCTTTACAGATAAACAAAAGCTAAGAGAACGCAGCACCACCACACCAGCTTTACAACAAATGCCAAAGGAACTTCTCTAGGTGGAAAAGAGGCCACAACTAGAAAGAAGAAAATTATGCATGGACAAGCTCACTGGTAAAGGCACACATGGTAAACAGGAAAGCAACCACACCTAAATATGTCAAAAGCATCAATCACGAGGAAAGCACAATGCAGGGTATTGCAAATGCACTTGAAATTAAAAGACCAGCAACTTAAAATAATTGTGTTTATATATAGTTGCTGTATCAGAACCTCCTCGTCACCACAAACTGAAAATCTACAATAGACACAAACATAAAAAAGAAAAAAGGATCCATACACAACACTAAAGTTAGCTATCAAATTATAAGAGAGGAGAACAAAAGAGGAAGGAAAAAAAAGACTCATAAAAACAAACAATTAACAAAGTGGTAATAAGGACATACCTTTGGATAATTACTTTAAATGTAAATGAATTAAATGCTTTAAATGAAAGACACTGGCTGGCTCAATGGATAGAAACACAAGACGCTGTCTACACAAGCACCACTTCAGATCTAGGGACACATACAGACTGAAAATGAGGAGTTCAAAAAAGGTATTCCATGTAAATGGAAAACAAAAGAAAGGTAGAGTGGCAATACCCAGACAAAATAGACTTTAAAATAAAGACTGTTACAAGAGGCAGAGGAGGACACTGTATAATGATCAAGGGATCAATCCAAGATGAAGTTATACATGTATAAATATATATGCAACCAACACAGGTGCACCTGAATATATAACATGCAAATAGAAACAGTCATAGAAAGGGAACAGTTGTCACTCAGCACGGTTTCCTTCAAATTTAAATTTAAATATTGACTTGTCCACTTTAGGATTCCCTTCCCCCAGTGTAAGAAAGTCTTTAGTGCTTCCCTATAGATCAATGAAACTAAAAGCTGGTTCTTTGAAATAAGCAAAATGGATAAACCACTAGTCATACTCATAAAGTAAAAAAAAAAAAAAGGAAGAGGATTCAAATCAATAAAATTAGAAATGAAAGGAGAGAAGCTACAACTGACACAACAGAAATAAAAGAGACCATAAAAGACTACTGTGAGTAACTATACACCAATAAAATGGAAAGCCAGAGGAAATGGACAATTCTTAGGAAGGTACCAAGACTGAATGAGGACGAAATAGAAAATATAAACAGACCAATTATCAATACTGAAGTTGAATCAGAAAATTTAAAACTCCAAACAACCAAAAGCCCAGGACCAAATGGTTTCACAGGTGAATTCTACCAAGCATTTAAAGAAGAGTTAACAATCATCCTTCTAAAACTATTTCCAAAAAATTGCAGAGAAAGCAACAGTTCCAAACTCATTCTATGAGGCCACTGTCACCCTAATAACAAAACCAGACAAAGATATCACAAAAAAAAGAAAATTACAGGCCAATATCACTGATGAACACAGATACAAAAATACTCAACAGAATACTAGCAAATCAACTCCAACAATACAATATAAAGATCACACGCCATGATCAAAGAGATTTATCACAGGGGTGCTAGAATTTTTCATTATTTGGAAATCAATCAATGTGATGCATTATATTAACAAACTGAAAAATAAAAACCATATTATCATCTCAATAGATGCAGAAAAGGCTTTTGATAAAATTCAACGTCCATTTATGATAAAAACTCCTCAGAAAGTGGGCATAAAGGGACCATATCTCAACATAATAAGGCCATATGTGACAAACCAATAGCTAATCTCATAGTTAACAGTGAAAAGCTGAAAGCATTTCCATTAAGTTCAGAAACAAGAAGAGAATGCTCCCTCAACATTTTTATTCTACATAGATTTGGAACTCCTAGCCATGCAATCACACAGGAAAAATAAAAGGAATCCAAGTTGGAAAAGAAGAAAGTAAAACTATCACGGTTTGCATATGACATGCTGCTATATGTAGAAAATCCTAAAGACTTTACCAGGAAACTATTAGAGTTCATTAATAAATCCTGTAAATTTTCAAGATACAAAATTAACCTACAGAAATCTGTTGCATTTCTATGCACAAACAAAGAAATATCAAAAGAAAAATTAAGGAAACACTCTCATTTACTACAGTATCAAAATGAATAGACTACTTAGGATTAAACCTACCTAAGGAGGCAAAGACTTACACTCCAAAAACTTAGATAATGATAAAAGATTTAGAAGACAACACAAGCAGGTGTAAAGATACACTGTGTTCTTGGATTGAAAGCATCAGAATTGTTCAAACGATGATACTGTTCAAGCCAATCTACAGATTCCAATGCAATACCATTCAAATTACCAAAGACATTTTTCACAGAACTTGAAAAAACAAATTTAAAATATGTGTGGAGGGCTTCCCTGGTGTTCCGTTAGTGGTGAAGAATCTGCCTGCCGATGCAGGGGACACAGGTTCGATGCTTGGCGGGAATATCACACTTGCTGAGAGGCAACCAAGCACTCTGGCCACACTCCTGAAGCCCACGTGCCAGGAGCCCGGGCTCTGCACCAAGAGAAGCCACCACAATGAGAAGCCCGCACACCGCAGTGACGCATGGCCGCTGCTTGCTGCAGTGAGAGAACCCCCTCACGCAGCAGCCAAGACCCAGCACAGCCAAAAGTAAACAAGTAATGTTTTTAATGTATGGAAACACAGAAGACCCCCAAATACCCAACGCAATCTTGAGAAAGAAGAATGGGGCCGGAGGAATCATGCTCCCTGACTACTGATGTAAGGGAGTCATCAGAACACTACAGAATTGGCACAAAAATAGAAGCACAGATCAATGGAACAGGACAGAATGCCGAGAAATAAACCCACAAATGTATGGCCAAGTGAGCTGTGACAAAAGAGGCAAGAATATGCAATGGAGAAGAAATAGTCTCTTCAACAGGTGGTACTAGGAAAAGTGGACAGCTACATGTTAAAGAATGAAATTAATTAGAACATTCTCTAATACCATAAACAAAAATAAATTGGAAATAGCTTATAGATCTAAATGTAAGAATAGATACTATGAAACTTCTAAAGGAAATCTTAGGGAGAATATTCTTTGACATAAATGGCAGCAATATCTTTTTTGATCAATCCTAGACTAATGAAAATAAAAAGAAAAACAAGAAATGGGACCTAATTAAACTTAAAAGCTTTTACAGAGCAAAGGAAATCATAAAAATGAGAAAAGACCATTTAGGGAATATGAGACAATATTTGCAAAAGATGCTACTAACAAAGAATTAATTTCCAAAATATACAAAGAACTATTACAGCTTAACATGAAAAAAACAACCCAATCAAAAAAATGGTCAAGAGACCTAAATAGACAC